TTTTTTTTTTTTTTTTTTTTGGTCAGCCTCTTCATTAGTTTATATTTAAGAATGAGAATAACCTAATTACTTTTGACTCAGAATTTGGGAGTAAGTTGTATGTCATGACCTTTTGCCTCCTGAATTATTTAGGGTGTATTTCTTATGGACAGAAGTACAAGTTCAGAGGATTTAATACTGATATTTTATTGCATTCCAGTTTGTCAGTTCACCTAGTGTTAGCATTTTCCTTTCTCAAGTGCAGGACCTAGTTTAGTACGAAGTGTTGTGTTTGGTCATCGTGCCTCTTTTATCCTCTTTTTTTTTTTTTTTTTTTTTCCAGTGCTGGGAACCGAACTCATGACCTTGCGTTTGCCAGGCAGGCACTGTGCCGCTGAGCTAAATCCCCAGCCCTCTTTTATCCTCTTGGTTCTACAACAAGTCCATAGCTCTTCTTTTTCTTTCATAAATTCCTATTTTTAAAGAGTAACCTCCATCTTTTGTTGGTCTTTCTGAAAAGTTTCTCATTCTGGCATAGCATAGACAGGAATAGACACGGTATGCTGTGTCTTTCTACAGATATAAAATCTGGAGGTGCATGATATTTATCTTCTCACTGGTGATGTTAGTTTTGATCAGTTAGTGCGAAGATACTTTAATGTCATGCAGATAGTCTCCTCCATAGCAATATTTCACCCTCAAATTAGTATCCATTGATAGCTCTTAGCTTGTACTGTGGTGGTTGCAAATAGGTAATTTTCTTCCCCAAACTTCAGCATTTCCTCTATGTTTAACAGCTGAGATGAAGCATTCTCTTTCTCAGTATGGATTTATGAATTCCTGTTTTTTTCAGTGGTCTATAATTAGTCATTACTGTCTTAGTTATTTTTGTGTTCCAACTGGCTGCTATCTCCTTGTGACATGCCCAGGCGCTTTTTTTCCTTTTGTTTTTGAGCTGTTTCTTATTTCCTGGCAAAACAAAAAGATCTGATGTGATCTTGTACTTGTTAGCAAGGTTTCTTTCCTGGGAAATGGTTTGAGACAAAAAAAATCTGGCACTAGTTGTGCACAGTGGTTCTAGGCCTTTGAGCACCACTTTTTTTTAGATGCATTCTTACTTGAAGGAAGAAATGGCCAACTGATTTGAAGTTTCTTTCCATCTTAAATATCTCTTTAGAGAGAGTTGTAGGATTTGGTGTTTTCCTAAAGGGTGAAGGGGAAGAATGCTTAAAATGCGTGCTGAGTGCCTTATAGACCAGCTGTCTAGGGCACAGATTTCTGAATGAGGGAAACTTGCTCTTAGGTAAAATCAGAGCTGGACTCTGATTCTTTTTGTAGACACTGGAAACTGAATAAGGATAGGGCTTCCCTGGTATTTAGGGTGCCACGGTATGCCAAAGTGGCTGGGGATAGAGAGTGGGAGGGTGGTGAAATAGTTGTTTGTTAAAGTGGCAGCTATCTTTCTAGATCAGAGAATGAAAATGTGAACTTTAAATCTTAAAATGTCTTAGTGGCTTCCTTAGGAAATTTAGTACTTCTTGATTGAATTATCTTACCATTTAAAAATATGTAAAATCTCAAGGCACTTACCAATAATTCATTTTCTACATTTTTGTTTCACATAGTCATTCTTTTGTTCTCTGTGTGCTCAATTACACCTCAGGTTTTCCTCTGGATCTCTTACGCTGTGAAAGCCTTCTTGGTTTGGATCCTGCAACTTGCAGCAGAGTTCTAAACAAAAATTACACACTGCTGGTCTCTATGGCTCCTCTCACCAACGAAATCCGCCCCATCAGCAGCTGTACCCCTCAGGTGAGGACCAACTTGGAAGATCCTCTTGGAACTGCTATCACTCCACTGAGAAAATGAATGGTTTTATTTTCTTCATTCTCAACTTTTGGGTACTAAACACTAAACATTGAGTCAGCAGTTATGCATTTTATGCTGTTGTAAGGTGATGTTATGTTCACATTGTGAAGTATAATGGGCACATTTATGTATTAGTAACCTGTGATGCATTAGATTAACATCGTATTCTGCACAGAGTATTTTAAAGAGAACATTTAGGGTGTCCCAGAAGGAAGCCTAGATCATTTTGAGGGGTAAGTTTAGGTTTTTTTTTTTTTTTTGGTACCGAGAATTGAACTCAGGACCTTGTGCTTGTCAGGCAGGTCCTTGTGCCGCTGAGCTATATCCCCAGCCTGAGGGATAAGTTTAGGAAAAAGCAAATGTTTTAGAAGTGGGACTGTGATGGGAAGAAAAGGTGATATTTGAAAGAGCTGTAGCTGTGGAATTTATATGTGAGAGTTATTTCTGATCTTTTATTTTTTAAAAATAAATAAGTTGCAGTGTTTTGTGTGTGTACATAGCAAGAAAGTTGTGGCAGGAACCGTTTTCAGTGTGGAGATTGTGTTGCTGCTCCATACCTCCTGGTTTCTAAGAGGTTCAGAGTTTAATAGTGTAGAAGAAAGCGACGTGTCTTGCATGAAGTTGTTTATATAGTCTGTGTTGCTCTATTTGCCACAACAAATGTTGGCCTCATACAGTACTCACTGGGAATGGTCCTAGATTTGCATTTATCCAAGTTTTATGTTCTCTCAGCAGCCCCTTCTATTTAACACAACCTGTAGGCGTAGGGGAAATCTATGAACTGTCTGAATAGATGATAAAATGGATGCAGGGAAGATTACATGTTTTTAATGACAGTAACAACTAATACTTTAATACAAAGTTTATTATGTCCTAGGTGCTGTTCTAAGCCTTTTGGAGCAATCTTACAGCATCTTCATGAGGTGGATATTTTATTGCTCTTTTATAGCTTGAGCAAAATGAGGTGCAGAAAGCTTAAGTAACTTTCTAGGTAACTTAGTAACTTTTAGGGTGATAAAAGGATGAAGCCCAGATTCAGACCTATGCAGTCCACATTCCAAAGCTGAATTCCGTAATGCAGTGATATAGTATACCTCCTTAAATCCAAATAAGGCTGACACTATTTTGCTGGAGTACTTAATATTCATTTCAATAAGGATAATGGCAATTAAAATTTAGTGGGCATTTCCTATTTAGAAGACTATACTTCGTCAGTTGTGAAATTTGGCTTCTGTAGATAACTATGACAATGTTTATCTTACCTGTGTTGTGACTGTAGCATATCGGACCAGCTATTCCAGAAGTCAGTTCTGTTTGGTTCAAACTGTATATTTACCACATCACTGGGCAAGGACCACCATCTCTTTTACTATCAAAAGGTACAAGACTTCGAAAACTGCCAGACATATTCCAGGTATGTATGAAGGTCCCTCCCTCCCTCTGTCCCTCCCTCCTTTTCTTCCTTCCTTCCTTCCTTCTTGCCTTCCTTTTCTTTCTCCTTCTATCCCTCCCTACCGCCTTCCCTTCCTTCCTTCCGTCCTTTCTCTTTCTCTTTCTTTCTTTATTTTCTTATTTTATTGCATTTTATTTTTGTGTGTGTGTGATGCTGGGAATGGACCCCGTGATCTCACACATGCTATACAAGTGTTCTACCACTGAGCTATATCCCTAGCCTAGGATTTTTTAAATGGTTTTTAGTTTTGAAGAGAGTAGAAGTTGGTGAGCAATATAACAGATAACTTTCTTAATTTTATTCTTATTTCTAAAAGCCATTCTGTTACTCATTTCTTTCCAATAGGGTTATGATCGATTGCTCATAACATCTTGGGGTCATGATCCTGGTGTAGTTCCTACATCAAATGTGCTGACGATGTTGAATGATGCTTTAACACATTCTGCGGTTTTAATTCAGGTATACTTATTTTGTTTGAAAAAATTCACTATTTGATTTGTCATTTATTTATAAAGTGGAAAAGTGAGAAATCAAGATATCTTGGTTTTAGTCCTGGCCCTTTGGCAGTGTGAGGTTGGTAGAAGCTACATAGACTTTGAACTTGGACCCCGGTTTGAACTGCAGTTGGAGCTTTTACTAGCTATGTGACTCGTATTTTATTCTTAAAATAATAGCTTTATTGAGATACAATTCATAAACTATGCAGTTTACCACTTTATGCAGTTCAATGTATTTTAGTGTATTTACAGATCTGTATAGTTGTCAGCATCCTCAATTGTAGACTTTCTAACACCTCAAAATAAATTGTATTATTTAGCTATCATACTCGCCTTTCCCCTGCCCCTCAGTCTCGCAGCCCTAAACACAACTACTGTCTCTGTAGGTTTGCCTGTTCTGTGCCTTTCATGTACATAGAATCATGTGAAATGTGTGAAGACTTTATTGTTGTTATTTTTTGTGATTGTCTTCATTTAACATCATATTGTAGCATGTATCAGTTTCTTTTTATGACCAAATTAATTGTTCATTATTTGGATAAACCACATTTTGTTTATCCATTCAGTAGTTAATGGGCACCTTTTGGGGACTGTGAGCAGCATTGCTGTACACATGCATGTCTGAGTCTTGTGTAAGCATGTATTTTTACTTTTCTTGGGTAAATACAGGGCGGAAGGGCGCATAGTGTTGCTGAGTCATGTTGTAACTGCACGTAACCATTGCAGAGCAGCCAGGCTGCCTTCCAAAGTGTCTGTGCCATTTATTTTCCTATGAGTACTTGATTTTACCTGACTTTTGATTATAGCCAACTTAGTGAGTATGATTTGGCATCTCATTATAGTTTTCATTTACATTTTCCTGATAATAATGTTGAGTCTCTTTTTATGTGCTTATTGGGCTGAACTATATTTTTGGTATACTTTTCTGTTTTCCACTGGAAAACTGGAGATTGTGATATCTTCTAAAAAATAACCAAAAAAGGTAGCACCTCATGATGAGGTAGGAAATTTGTACAGTACTTGTAGACTTGTCAGAGGATGAATTGAGAATGTTCATGTGAAATGTATGTAGCACACTTTCTGGTACACAGTCAATTGTTGATAAATTCTTTGATAAACTACGTCTTTATCAGCTCTCTTCATAGTCTGTTGAAAAGAATGACTGAAAGAGGAAATTGACAGGAGCTGCGTAGCACATAGGTAGATCTGGCAAAGGACATTAGCTGCGGTGGTGGTCGTCGTAGTGGGGACAGAGGGAGCAGTGGTGATTGACTTCTTCCTGTCGCTGGCTTGGATCTGCCCTCACATCTTTGAACCTCAGTTTTCATCACCTATAATACGAAGGGTGTAACTGCCAAAGTCTGTCCTATAGGCCGTACTCAGTCAGTCAGGTTTGGTTTTTTTTCTATCAGTAGATGTTACCCATTTTTAAAGTGCTTGCTAAGAAGTTTTGTTTTTGCTAAAAAAGAACTATTACTTTATTATGTTTTATGGAAAAGATTTACAGTATGTTACAAACTAAGATTTTGATTAAGACCACAATTTTACTGTAACCATAGTTTAGGAATAAAGTATAAATCTTTAAGAGGAATAATAAGTGAGAGCAGTTACAAATATATTCATAGTGTTTTATATCAGGAGTTCTTGAGTTCAAGTAATACATCATGTGGGTCTCTTACACTCTTTACAGTTTCCATCATAATGGTACTAAGTACGTGTAAACCTAAGTTCTTCATGCTGATTTTTCTTAAACAACTGTAAGCCCAAAGCAAATTTTGGAATTAAACATATATAAACTTTTTAAAACCAAAAATTTAAATGCATATTAATTGAATGTGATGGATGAAACTAAATTATTTGTAAAATGGGAGGAGAGTGGGTAGACTCAGATATTTTAAACTTAATTTTTATGTAATAGTATAGTTATATTATTCTGTCTATCCAGTTTGCACTCCTCATCTCACCTCCAAATGAGATAGTCACATTTATTAGTTTCTGCTGTGTCCATTTATGCAAATGTAAGTGGTTATACACTGAAGTTTCCTATACTGTTTTCATTTATAAATTGGAGATCTTTATATTTTATTTGTAAAATGCAGTTCTATTAAAATATATATGCCATAATTTATTTAACCAGTCCTCTACAAGTACTGGTGGGTGTTTTGGTTGTTTCCAAGTACAGTATGTCATTATACTGTTGTAGCAAATATCTGTATACTGTATATGCCATCTCAGGGCACATATTTGGACTTTGCATTCCCTGTTCTGTGCCATTGTGCCATGTGATTGTAGGGATTCTTGTATGCTTTTCTCTTGCGGAACTACAGCTATGCCTTGTGCATGGCTCTTTGACCTTATTCATGCATTCTTTGGTTGGCTTCCCCTTCCCTTTCCCTGATTTAGCTGTTAATCTAGCAACCTCCATGTTTTTCATATGCTCGGTTTAAGAAACACTGTCTTGTAGGTTAATATGCAGGTAAGATTGTCATTTCTGGCTGTAGAAAACAAGAACATTGTTGAAAGCAGTTTGGTGGAGTGTTAATGTGAAATGTAGCATTAAGTGGCACAAACTTATTTATTATCTGTTTATCAATTATTGGAAATGTGGGTTTCTTGAATACTTTTCAACTTTTGTTTCTTTATGTTTAGGGACATGGTTTGTATGCGATAGGTGAAACTGTCCATGTGCCGTTTCCATTTGATGAAACAGAATTACAAGGAGGTACTTTCTGAATTGTATCCATTTGACTTTACCATTAATTATGTCAACAGTTTGGTGGTGAAAGTGCCAAGGGTGAATGCTTAAAATTTTTAAGTTCTAGATTCTTACATTCTGCTATTACATAATATTGGCAAAGGGTATTTTTGTTCTGTAACTTTTCCTTCAGGAGCTGATAGGCTAATACCCATTTAGGACTCTTGAAAGCACATTGTCATGGGGGCAAAGATAATAACTAGATATTTGGCTAGATGAAAGACTGAATTTTCTTTTAAGCTTTCAGTTTCTTTTATTTGCTTTATTTGAAGGTTGAGGGAGAAGACAAGCCATAGATTTTATACTTAGAAAATATTTTCCTGTGTTGTATAAATTCCATGTCAGAGGCTCTTTAAAGTATTCAGTGCAGAGTTTTCAATGTCATTTACAGCTACCTCAGTCTGTGTGTGAATACATCTACATAAAGACTGCTGCTGCAGTTTTAATGGCTTGTTTTAATTTTTAGTTAACATTTTAAAAATTTACATAATTAAAAAATGAATGCTAATGAGCATTTTCATTCTTACCTTACGGTTCACTAAGCTTGTATATCTTTCTTGTTCCCACATTTGTTTTTGCTGTTAAGTTTTATTTTTGCTATTGGAGGGGATTTGAGTGTCTGTAGGGTTTATGCCAAATCCAGCTAGTGAGAATGAAGGGTGATAGGATGGGAAGTGCCCTACTTAGTATCATCTCTTTCTAGAATTTGATGTGACCTGGAGTTTATTTGATGCAAGATGCTCCAAGAATTTTTATAAAAGCAAATTCTCTTGTCCTTTTCTAATATAGAAGATAACTTCTCTGAATATTAACAAGTTACATGCAGTTGTCCCATAATATCATGGGAATTGATTCCAAGAATCTCCCCACACAGGGAATATCAGACTCTACAGATGCTCAAGTTCTTTATATAAAATGGAGCGATACTTGCATATGTTTGTATACATCCTCTGGTATACTTAAAAATAATCTGTAGAGTACTTATACCTAATACATGCTATGTGTAAATAGTTGTCATACTATATTATTTAGGAAATAATAATAAAAAGTCTGTATATGTTTAGTACATATTATTTTCAAATATTTTGGATCTTTGGTTAGTTGACTCCGTGGATATGGAACCCTGCAGATACAGCAGGCTGATTATATTCAAAAGAAAAATGCTGTTTGATTAACACTTACCTATTTTATATATAACACTTCTGCTTCCTGCAAAAACAGCTTCATGGTAAGCTATTTTTCTGATTTCTAGAGCCATATTAATGGATTTTAGAGAATAGTGAATATTTCAAATACTTTACTGTTCTTCCAAAAAATTTTTATTTTTATTTTTATTTTTGAGACAGGGTTACACTATGTAGTCCAGGCTGGCCTGGAACTCATGGTGTAGCTCAGACTGGCCTGGAACTCAGCAGTCTTGCCTCAACCTTCTTTTTTTTTTTTTTCCCCGGTAGTGGGAATCAAACTCACGACCTTGCTGTGCTGCTGAGCTAAATCTCCAGCCCCTGCCTCAACCTTCTGAATGCTGGGATTATAGGTGTACGTCACCACACTCAGCTTCTTCCCAAATGTTAATCACTACATTTCTTTCTACCTCAAAATAGAGGAAAGTGAATTTTGTGAATATCATTTTTCTTTTTACATGGCTATACTGCAGAAGCTTCATATTTGAAATTAAGATTCTTTTTTCTGCCTGTTGTGAATAAATATGCCTCTATTCAGAAGTGAATACATCCCTGCAACCTACTTTGGTGTTTAATCCTCTAATTTTTTTTTGTTGAATTCTAAGGAAAAAAATAATTGCTTGCTTACTCAAATATACTGTACAGGATAGTGACAGCAGGATCTTAAATTTTATGTAATATTGAGAACTAATGGACACTTATTGTCTTGGGAGATTATTGTGTGAATTATAAAAAAGAAGCCAGATGTTATGGCTTGAGCCCAACCTGGAGAACTTAGTGATTTAATGAGACTCTCTCAAAATAAAAAATAAAGAAAAGGGCTAGGGATATAGGTCAGTACAGAGGCTCTTGAGTTGAATGCCCAACACTGAAAAGGAAAAAAAAGAGGTATCTTCATATTAGGATATAGAGCACTTTCTCATTTATGCGTTCACATATTTCTGATAAGTCCAGCTAATAGCTAAATAATTTATTAGGCATATGATTTCAAGTCCATTGTTAGCATTTGTTAATATAAATAACTACTCAAATTTTTAGAAAGTATGATTTGTATTTAATACGTTTCCTATAGAAGCCCACTAAGTAAGTGTGCAAGGCAGGATAGAACCACAAAGAGAAGTCTAGAGATCTGCCACAGATTGGCCCAGTTTACTCACTTAGCAGGTAGTGCCCCAGAAGACTGTAAACATGTTAAATGTGAATAGTTTTTTTTTTGGCAATCACATATATTTCTTCATTGGATTCATTTTTGGTAGATTAAAACATAAAAGTAATTCAAAAGAATTGTTTAGTAAAAAAAATGTGAATAGTTTGCTTATTATGCCCAGCTTTGTAGCCTTGCGTTCAAGTTTTGGCTGTTGTGTTATAAGAATTTTCACTAATGTGTTGTCATTTCTTTGTTCCTAGAGTTTTCTCGTATCAGCATGGGTGTTCATAAAGCATTGCAAACATTAAGGAACAAAGTGGACTTGCAGCATTTCTGTGGCTATGTCACCATGTTGAATGCTTCTAGCCAACTTGCAAGTAGAAAACTCAGTGATGCTTCTGATGAGAAAGGTGAGCCAGCTGCTGGGTTCTTTGAATTCACATACCTGGTTTTTAGTGTAAAATAGTCTTAATATATAAAAATCAGTAGACATTTGTGGGGATACTGAATTACAGTTTTTTAACTGAAGGATAAGACAGTATTCTGTAGCATCATTTGGACAAATGGCAGTTGTATAAGTGGGCAAATACCAGGTGCATAACTAATGAAGTGATGACCTTGGCCTGCCATACAGCGTGGCTTTGGGCTTTTAGCCTTTGCTGCCACATCTGTGTTTACAGGTTTTGAATTACGTTAGCCTTGTGGAGTGTTGGTTTCAAAACTCAAATGACTTTGTAAAAATGTTTCCAAAGTGAACTTAATAGTTGGTTTCCATGTTCTGTGAAATTAGTCATTAGAAATATCTCTCATGTCGTTTTTCCCCCTTCATTTTTGAGTCTGTATAACTGCTGATCTAGTCTGGATCTTGCTACCTTAATTATGTATTTTGGCAACCATTTCCTACTTGGTTTTCCCGTCGTCTTTTTCTTATCTCCAGTCTGTCCTGCACATTAACAATGGCTTATTATGCCCTGTTCTTTCTTGTTGAATTCCCATTTTCAGATCACCTTTTCATGCTTACTAATTGTTTCTACTCTGGCATAATATTTGCTTGCTTATGGCTTTTGTTATTGTGGTGCTGGCTCTGGTCCTTTGGGAGACCTTTGAAGTCAGATGTCTTGTTACTGGTTGACTGTATTCCATGAGCCTCTTAATTTGAAATCCTAAGAAAATGTGATTGATATGAGCCATTCAAAGGATTGGGTTGGCTCACTTTGAGTTAGATATATACTCCTGGTCCATTGAGTTTTGGCCAAAGTTAGTAGGTAGCTTTTAACAGCTGATGTTATAGGAGCAATTTCCAGAGAAGAGGGCATTTCAAAGTGTGTCTACTATAGCTATCATATTTCACAATTTTCATTCTACAGATATGTAAATAATAAATAACTGTTTAAGTGCTGGAGAAAATTGGTAAGACCTCATTTTATTCCAAGAGGTAAAACCCTAGTAGGAGACAGACAAGTGTGTCAGCCTGCAGTGAAGTGTTGAGAGAATGTGATAGGGTCTGAGGTATGCTGATGAGGACAGACAAGCATCTCTCTGCCCTGTGAACCTTCCAGGGAAGGCATCCTAGAGAAGACACAGTGTCAACTGAACTTGAAAAATGAGTTAGAGAAACAAAAAAGGATTGTGGATTTTTTTTTTTGAGGGTGGGGGTGGCAACCTTTTAGGCAGAGGGCATTAGGAACAGAGTAGCTCATCTTTATGTAAAAGAAAAGATTTTGGAGAGTGGAAGAATGTCATTGAAGAGTAATGTAGTCAGGCTGTATTCCACAGGTGGAAATGGCTTTAGTCATGATCTAAGTGCAGATCTAAACCCACGTTCCTCTTTTTGAATTTTACATTTAGGCCAGGATTTCTCATCCTTAGCATTATTTGCATTTCAGGCTAGGTAGTTCTTTGTTTTGGGGATTGTACATGGTAAGAAGTTTAACATGTCTGGAAATCAGGACCATCTTGTTCCTATTCATGACAACTGCACTTGTTTCTCGACATTGCTCAATGTCTTTTTTGGGGAAAAATCGTTCCCCTAGTGTAGAATCACTGGTTTAGGCCCCAAATTACTCATTTCTTCCCATGGTCATCATCATCATCATCATCACTATTGCCTGAAGTCTTCTTTATGTTAGATCTGAGTTATTAACAGCTTCTGCTGAGTACTGGTCTAGAATCCTAATATTGTGTATATCCTTTTATTATAAGGAGAACCTGATTTGGCATCTGGCTCGGATGTAAATGGAAGTACAGAGTCATTTGAAATGGTCATTGAAGAAGCAACTGTAGATCCAGCAACAAAACAAAACTCTGGTACGATGTTAAAAATTCCTCAAACAATTATTAGACTAATTTCTGAGGCTTAACTTTCCTGCTAAGTTATTTGCATGTTGTCTGGTCTTATCATCCATAATGGACTTTTTAATATGAATTTTCTAAGAAACATTTTTTTATACTTAAAATAGTGACTTAAGCACTATTAAATTATGACAGGCAAATAATGACTTCAGGTGTCATCCATTAGTGGTCAATGTTTTGGTTCTTTCTCTTCATCATGCAGATGTCTTTCTTGGCAAATGACTACTTTGAACATTTGATGATAGTTGTGTCCCCATTTTCTAGGCCTGTATACATCCTCAAAAGATGCCCTCTTCTACTGAGAGCGAGGAGCCCTGTTTCAGAGCCCCTCCCTCGTCAAGCCTGGTGGAGGTTATGGGGCCTTAGTGCTCAGATGCTGCTGATGCGTATGTCCGAGGTGAAAGAAAATTGTTTGTCCTTTTCTAGGTGCCACTACCGAAGCAGAGTGGGTTCCTCTAGAGCTGTGCTTTGGAATTCCACTGTTCAGTTCTGAATTAAACCAGAAAGTTTGTAGGAAAATCGCTACTCATGGCCTTTGCAGAAAAGAGAGGTATGGACTCACTCTTGGTTTTAAGCTGTCAGTGAGTAGTTACTAGATTGTGCTTTCTTTTATTCTGCACGTGAATAGTTACTTCCCAATGTATATTTGTTGATTGAAAAGGGAATGCTAATTTACTGGTTTTGGTGTATTTTTAAAGTTGTAGTAGATCAGAAATTAGTCACAGCAAACACTTTGGGGTCATGGTTTAATTACATTTTCTTAGTTACCCAGGTTTGGTGAGGGTGTGAAAAATGGGCATGCCTGTGTGGAATGTGAACCTAGTTTTAAAAATTGGTAAATGTCTTGTGCCCGCCCCTGCCTTCCCCCTTTTTTGTGGCACTGGGGATTGACCTGAACAGCACTGCCATATGTCCCCAGCCCTTTTTATTTTTTTGAGACAGAATCTTTCTCAGTTGCCCAGGCAGGGCTTGAACTTGTGATCCTCCTGCCTCAGTCTCCCAGAATGTTGGGATTACAGGTGTGCACCACCGTGCAAGGCTTTCCTTCTATCAGGATATATGCATAAGTTATATTAATAATGTTTGTCTCTGGTGGTAGAATTATAGTGACTTTATAAAAATTTCTCCATTTCTTACATTTTCCAAAATGAGCATGTATTGCTTTTTAGAGAGGACACACAAGTTTTATCTCACATTTCACTCTGATTCTTGGAAGGAGCTGCTGAGAAGCAGGGCTGGAAGGGTTCTGAGGAGGCTGTTGGGCTAGTGAGGAAGAATATTGCTGTCTCCAGTTGTCACTATGGATGGCTTGCAGGGCTGATAATCCACCAGTCTTCTGGGCATTTTTACTTAGGAAGAAAATAGTTGGACAAGAGATAATTCATATGATTGGCTTAGTGAAGTTTATCTCAAAAAATTAAAGGTGTCCAGTTGAGCATTTGAAAAACTGTTCTCTGCAAATAAGATAACATACGTCAAAAGTGGAAATACCGTAGAACTAAAGATTGCTACTGCCGTTTTTACTGATTTATGTGTAGAGGTTAGTTTGTGTTAAATTTGTTCGACTTTTTTCCTCAGGTTGTCTTTTAAAATTACTTTGGAAATTTGAAGTTTTGTGTCATATTTTCCATCCCTCAGAGTGCAGAGTTTTAAATCTTCATTTTAAAAGTTTTATCCACTTAACATTAATATTTATTAGCAGTTTAAATATCTTTTTAAAATGGTAACTTCAGTTTTGGTTTATATATTGCATTATATTTGAAAATACTTTTTGTGCATTGCTACTACCTATTATTACAACAAGAAAAACATTAGTAATACAAAGAGTTGAAATAATTTCTTCAGATAAAATTTTTTATCTGATGAATCAGAATGTATATACTCACACAAGGGCATTTAAATTGCTAAAACTAAGGTCTTGTGACATGTTATTTCTTGCCATTCCATTTAATTTCCCCCCCCTTTTTTTTCAGCCTTCAAAACCTCCTACATTCCAGCAGAAAACTGTCTCTACAAGTCCTTAACTTTGTTCACTCATTCCAGGTAATAAAGATTAAAAATGCAAATTGTGTAGTGATTTATAGTATTTGAAGCATTTCCAGGTTTTTGAGTCTGCACAGCAGAAAGACATGACATAGTAGTATTACTTTATAAGTGAAAGCTTGGGTTCTTTCCCTGCTGTGAGAACTTCATTCTGCAGGACTGTGTTAGGTGGCTGTTGTGGGCTGCATTCCATGCTGGGTGCTGGGTGCTGGGTGCTGGGTGCTGGGTGCTGGGTACTGGGTGCTGTGTTGTGGCTGCCATTCCCTTTTGTGAACAGTTGCAGTGACTCATGGCCATGAAAGCCAGTGCTGTTACAAAGCAAAGAAAGAACAATCAGCACTTGATTTATAGATAAACTTTCAGAATGGGAAATTTCTATTCAAAATACCTGATTCAGTATTGTGAATTCAGTATCTTGGAGTTTTATTCCATGCATGCATTTATTCATTCATTCATTCAATACCAGGTGCTAGGGAAACAGTGCTGTGCAAGACACTAATGGAGCTTTTAATGTTGTGTGAAACAATAGTCAAATACACCCTAAAAGAGGTAATTATAGATTTCAGTAAGTACTTTGAAGGAGCCAGCTTATGATGGACTGTGAAGGTGGACATACTTTAGGGGAGAAACAATATAGAGGCCAGAACCTGGCTTGAGCCTGCAGTTAGGAGTAGGTGGGTGTTGGATGTAGGAATCTTTGTTCTGATGCTTAGTGTTGACAGGTGTTTTAGAGGTGGCTACGGTTAGAAAATACTTGGAGGTAGGTCCATTCTAATAAGAATTAAAGTTTTCTTATTCCATTGTCTGTTTATTTCAAAACATTTCTTACAGTCTGATTTGTGTAACCATTTTTGCATACATTACTCCCTGTCATTGATGTTTGGGGCTTGTGAGGTAGATCTTTGTATCTCTGGTAGTGTTTGTAGTCCGTGGACATTCTTAGGTAATCAAGGCCCCTATTTCTCACAAGTTACATTAAGCAGTTTTGGTTTGGCTAAGTGGTTTGATAAAGTTGAATATTTCATATTTCTCTCATTTCTTGGTCTTTTAGGAAGGTGCTTCAACACTGGATATTCACACAGAGCCCAGCTTCTCAAGTTTTCTTTCACAGTCATCTTATGCTGATACAGGAGTTCCACTTCCTGCGAAAAACTTAGTATTTAAAGATGGCATCTTATCAGAATGGAGTGGACGGTCACCTTCCTCACTGCGTATTGCCAATCTCCACCTGTAGTAATTTGGTTACACCATTTGTTGCTCTCACATTCTGCCTTTTTCCTTTCATAATGTTAGCTTTATAGTGTCAGCCGCTAAAAAGCCTCCTGCTGCTGCAGTGCAATTCTTGTTTCACTGATACTCGGAGTTTGGGGAACATGTTCATTATTGCACATCTTACTGCAACAAAGTGCTTTTTAGCAGCCAGCACTGTATTTTTTACCTTGAGACAATCTGCATTTCTTTTGTAAAACTAAGAATATACTTTATAGGCTTTATGATGACTGTTATGTTTTTAAGCAGTCACTATGAATATTGCGATGGTGATTTTATATGTTAGTTTATCACACATAAATCTTGTTTAATTTTATATTTTGTTACCTACACTTTAGGGGATCAAGGAAAGAGATGGAACACTTCCTCTGCAAAGTCTTCTCATAGTAAAACTGTGTAACAGTGAACACCCAGTATTGAGAGATCATGTGATAGGGCATTAAGAGTTTCTGTGGATGTCTGTAAATGATGTAAATTAACCAAACATTGTTGAAGGTCTGTAAATTGGCATAGTTATGTATATCTTAACCTGGATTTATAAGGTCTGAACTCAGACTATGACTATTCATTAACATCTCATGAGATAAGCTTTGGAAAACATTCTATTTTTAAACAGTGTTTGTATGTGGACTTCTGTTGTCACTCACTCTGGGCTTTATATTTTCATACAGTCTTTATGGAAAAATAGAACTTATTTTCCACTCGTAGCTGAGGCTGCTGCATATTTTTACCCTGACTTTTTCTTTGTTTTGTTTTGTTCTGTTTTGTGGCTTTACCAGTGAAATTGTTACAGAATTGAATTTAATGTTTTCAAACCAAGGGTTGTGATTTTAGATTAGAGTTACATATTAAAAGCATTAAGGCTATGTGTTCAGATCAGAATACTTCTGTGAATAACCTACTTTGAAGACATATTCTTAAGCCATCTGCATCTTAAATTTATGTTAATAGTTTTGGAGGGAGTAAAGAAAATGAGTAATTTCAAAGTTTTCTTGAGTCATTGATGCTTTTAGTATCTCAAATGTTAATTAAAGTGATTGAACTCACTTTGTAAACTTTTCAGATTACCTTCCTTGGGAAGTTTGTGCGTCATTATAGTTTAGTTTAGCTCCTCTTGTAGGGTAATGGTTTGCTAGTTTATAACTAACCGAACTACCTGGTCAGACAACATATATCTAAAACACTTAAAACATTAGAAAATTTGGAAATGTTATAACCTAACATTTTGGTGATGATTTTTGTTATTTATAGAACTGATATTTGTGTATTTAACATATTTCTGGAAATATATGCCTTTCTTAAAACTGTTAACGTAACATTGCATTTAATACCATACCATGTCCTATCTGTAGAACTGAATATTTTGGACCAGGTTACCTGTGGCACAGTCAGTACTGTGTTCGGGATAAATGTGGTAACATTTAGTTTTCTACTTTGTTTTGTATAAGGTAGAAACCATATGTATGTTATGTGTATCTATAAAAGGAAAAATACACACTAATATTAAAATAATTTCTATGACTGTGAATCATTCATTTGTTTTTCCCTTAATTGATACTGTACATTCCTAGTGTTACATATGTATATAACTTTTACACTGCTCAGCTGAAAATTATAAATATTCCTTTTGATTAGGACTCTTTAATCTCATTTCATTGTGCTTCTTTTGAATGAACTATTGTTTATTTATTCTTATATTAACCATCTAAGCCATTTGACATGACATGTATACTAATAAAGAATCGAACATTTGTAGTTGTTGTCAGTGAACACTTTCGTTGGTGAGTTTAAAGCTTAAAATATGGGGATGATTTGCTGCTGTATTTCCTTTGAGAGATAATAGAGGAAAAAATATAACAGAATAATGATCATGAACTTCAGGGCAATACTGAAAAAACTTGGGTCAACTCTGGTTTCTTCTGCTCCCTGAGGAAAGAGTAATCACCTGATTCCCAGTTGAAGGCCTCTTAACTGTCTTGAGGAGGAAAACATTTGCGTTTTTCAACCTGTTAGCAAAATGTGAAATGCTAGTGTTTGTGCTTTGCTTTTTGAATGTCTTTTTTTCATTTGTACTTTAACTCATGCAAAGATGCATCTCTTAAGTCTTACAAGTGTTCAGCCAGTTAAAAAAAAATGCAAATTAAATTACAGGTATTGTTATTTGCCAAAGAAGATTCGTGGAAACTTTATACCCCATTTTTTTGCAAATGTTTAAACTAATTTCATTTGGCTTTGTGCCACCTCCTCCTTTACTTTCTCCTAATGTAGCTTAAACCATGGCAAACATTATTTAGAGATAAGAAAAAAGAAATATATAAAAGGGTATAGAATTGAGTAGGGATACGATTTCACCTCTCAAATAGTTATCTAAAGGAGTGCAACTTCATATCATGTGAGAAATATGAAAGATTTCCTTATCTTTTTAAAACATAATCAGATGATTTTGTGTTTGTCTTTTGGGGGAATATTATTTTACTTGATGTTTTATTTTTTCTGCCATTCATGTTTTCTTTTTGTGTTCAGTGTTTCAAATAGTTTGTATTACACATTTTAAAATATCAAAAACTGTTAACAGTACAGTGGATTGTTTTCTGTTATTAGCATTATACAATGAGATGTATAAAGTGTTGTCAATTTGATTATTGACATATAATATGTTTACAAATAAACTGTGGTGTTGATCACTTGCCGTGAAGATGTATATGATCTTCTGAATTTTCCTTTTTTAGTTTTACATATAGCTATACTTTTCAGTGCTATTACTTTTCTAAATAATTTTGTAGTAATTTTACATAGGTAAGTTGCAAAGATCAGAGATAATTCCTTATACCCATTATTGAGCATCTACTAATGTACCACCTTATATAAACAATGGCCCATCTGTCAAAATTCAGAAATTAACGTGGACACAATATTATTTACTAAACTACAGACGTTATTGGGCCTTTACATTTCTCCACTAACATCTTTTGGTTCCTGGACCTGGGCCAGGATATCGCATCACGCTTAATTAGTTATGCATGCCCCCTAATCTTTTCTACCATGTGGTGGTATCTCAGTCTGTTCATGACCCTGACACTGTGAGGGGCACAGGTAAGTTCACTTCATAGGCTGTTCCTCACTGTGGGCTTACCTGAGTTTTCCTCACGATTAGACGGAAAGGGTGTGCCCTTCTCTGTACCATACCATGGGGTACACGATGTTAGCATATGTTACCATGATGTTCTGTTGGTGAAGGTGCTGTCTGCCTAGTTTTGCCACTATAAGTTGTCCCCCTGCGCTTTTATGCTTTACTCTGGAAGAGAGTCACTAAGTCAAGCCCACACTGGGGAAGGAAAATCTACCTCTACTTCCTGGAGGGGTGGGCATTTACATACACTTAGAATTCTTCTTTAAAGAATTCTTTAATTCTTCATTTGTTCCTTTCTCCCATTTTAAAATTTATTTGATCATGTACATTAGTGTGAACTCCTTACTACTTATTTTTGTCCTTTGCTTTAAAATGCAGGGCTGTTGCCATTTAATTTGTTGTGCAAATTGAGGTTTGGCCATTGGGAGTTTTTTGATGTTGGCTCCCCACTGGTTTTTTAAAGACATGTTCTTTTGGAAGTAGCTGTAGAAGGAGCTATTTCTCCAAGGACTTTTGGTTCTTTTTAGTGGAGAATGGAACTTAGCAGCTAATGTCTAGGTGTTGGGTATGCTTCTGCTGTTGGAGGGTTATGGCTTCTAGGCCTCTTAGTGACTGAGCTAGGTGATAGCTATATTAGCCAACATATAAGTGCACATCTCTATAATTATTTCAGAATCCAAGTGACTCATGAGATTATACTGACTAGCATAGGGTTCATTCTGCATTTGCTTATTTGTATCTTGACAGTGGCTCCTTTATGCTAGTTTATGTGTTTATTTGTTCAACACTAAAAGACTTAAAAAGTGGGTTTAGAATACATAACTTGTACCCCTTGAGAAGTTGATGAGATACAGTGTTCGTTACTTTTCCTTGTGGGGAGGATCTTTAGTTTTACATCATCTAGTCAAAACTCAATGATCTTTCAAAGAAAATGATTTTCGTTGGTACATTTCAGTTATATATAATGATCACATCATAGGGGATTTGTACCTCTACATCATATAACCTAATTCTTTTTCCTCCCATTTCCCTACCCGGCCTTCAACCCCTTTTCCCCTCCTTATTTACAAAGCTTTGTTTCCATTTTTCCAGTTGTTTTGTTTTTACTTTTCCCTTCCATCCTTTCCCCCTTTCCCCTCCCAGGTTCCCTTTCCTTTTGAGCATTTTTGTCCTATTTCACAATACCCATTATACATTTTGGTCCTTATTTACACTTTCAGTTTCTCACACCAGAGAAACCATGTGATATTTATACAAGTGTCTAATTCACTTGAGTATGGTCTCAAGTTGAATCCATTTACCTGGAAATGTCTGAAGCTTATCCTTTGTGGCAGAGTAGTACTTCATTATATTAAAAAAGAAAAAAAAAACATCTTTATCCATTCATGGGTTGATGGGCATTTGGGTGGTTTCCAAGATTCAGCGATTACAAACTGCCACTATAAACATGGGTGTGCATATATCGCCATGGTATGGTTTTCATTACTTTGGGAATATACCAAGAAAGGGAATAGCTGAGTCAAATGCAACCTCTAGTTTTAGTTTTTAAAGGAACTTTCACACTGACTGCCACAGGAGTTGCATCAGTCTATGCTACACCAACAGTGGAAAAGTGTTCCTTTTTCCCCACAGCCCCACCAGCACTTGTTATTGATTAATTTCTTGATAATGGCCATTCTTTCTGCAATAAGATGGAATCTCAGCATTGTTTTAATTTGCTGTCTTGAATAACCAGTGATGTTGAACATTGTTTTCATATATTTATTTGCCACTTCTACTTCATCTGAGAAGTATCTATTTCAGATGCCCACTTTGGATTTGGTTTTTAAATTTAGGGGGTCTGAGTTTTTTGAGTTCTTTATATATTGTAGATAGTACTCTCTTGTTGAGGAACAGTGGGTAAAATTTTTTTTCCCACACTATGTGTTGTCTTTTCACTCTTAGTGGTTTCTCTTGCTGTGTAAAAGCTTTTTTTGTTGTTTTTTAAATAAGGTGAGATCCAGTTCTTTGTGGTAGTTCCTGTGCTATTGGGGTTTTGTTCATGAAGACTTTGCCTACAGCAATATCTTCAAGAGTTCTACCTATTCCATTTTCCTGCAGATGTAATGTTACTGTTTTATTTTTTTATTTTTTTATTTTAAAGATAAAAGGAGGGAAACATTAACAGACATACAACATTTTACAACATATCACAAGCACAATACAGACAATACAGAGTTACAAACAAAGTG